CCGCAGTTTAGTTTTTGGATCACATTTTGATTCAATATTTTTTAAATTTTGTGAAATCATTCTTTTTTTTAAAAGAAAATGAACGCGTTTTTTTTTAGAACATTTGGATCATCAAATTTTTTGATTTGTTGATCCATTTATTTGATCTGATCTTCAAATGATTTTTATTGGTTATTGGATTTTTTGACAATCGGATCAGATCAAAATGGATTAGAATTGAACAGGGCTATTATCATCTATTCAAAATCTTATAAGAAACATCTACAACACTTATAAATAGTGTTTGAAGCAATTAGAAAAGCAAACTTGATGATTAAATTAAAAAAGTGTCAATTTTGCCTTCTAAATATCCTATTTTTTGGACATATTATAGGGAGAAGCAATTTACAACCTGATCCTAAAAAGATCAGAAAAATTAAAGAACTTCTAGCTTCTCAAGGATTAACTAAATTTAGAGCAGCCCTTGAATTGTTCTCATATTATCGTAAATTTGTTAAGGGATTTTCTCAAATCACTAAACCTATAACTATGCTACTAAAAAAGGATGCTCTATATGATTGAACTGAAAACTAACAAAAATCTTTTGATAAATTAAAAGAAAAGTTGATTACATCTCATAGGATGAAGTTTGTCTGATTGGCTAATGTAGATCAATTGAATTTATATGTTATACAGTACTTTTTGAGAAATAAGATTTTATATAATAAAAGAATAAAATTAAATTTATATATTGCTTCATTGAGGTGTTAAAATACTACTTTTAAAATAAATCTCTTATAATCTTATATTTAAGGAACATTAGCTTAATAACGACATTTCATAAATGGGTAAAGAAAAGAGACTCAAAGGATCATGTGCCATAGAAATTTGCAAAAGAAAATCTTTAACATGGAAAACTATTACTAGTTTAGTTCTATCTAAGGGAACGAATAATAAAACTCTTCCTAATTATATCAAAGAAAATGATATTATATGTTTAGATTGTTACAATGCAATTGTTATAAATGTGTTTTCTGAATTTCAGCAATATACGTTAAATTGGTATTGTTATATTGAACCAGAAACTTCTAATAATATTTTATCTTTTTCACAAACTATAGGTATACTTACGGATATTCTTTATGAAAGAAAACATAAAGAATTACCACCAATTTAGATATTTAAAGAATTTCATGTGGTTATAGAATCAGAAGATAAACAGTTGGAAACCTTCTTTAATGAATTATATTTATCAACTAACCCATCAAGAAAAAACAAAAATACAATGGAAAAGGTATCAAAGCAACTAGTATTTTTGTGTTATTTTATTTGTAGTATTAGAAACAAGTTTTTTAACAATACAAAAAGAGATCTAGAAATGTATTTAGATTCTACTAGAACACCAAATTCAAAAATTGACATCATAGCAATGTTAGGCCTAACAATAACATCTCGTTCAATTTCCTACCACAAGAATACCATATCTGAAAAATATTTGACAACTGTAAAATCAAATCTTGCAGATAGTACAAATGATGCAATCATTTTAAATATCAACAATTATCATAGTATTCACACTAAAAGAATGCCTAACACAACTACGACATCAACTGTAGTACATCTTGCCACTATTCTACTTAATCCAATTAAAATGAACCAGCAATATCAAAACAAGATATTTATAACCCTGCATTAGTTGATGCTTTGTTAATCAAAATTGGAATTGAAAATTATTTTATGTCAACATATTCAATTTCTCATAACCGACGCTGGGGATTTCATTTTGTGGATGATAAAATAAAGCTTGAAGAGTTAACAGTTCATAGCTATGATGTTTATTTAAAAGAAAAAGAAGCACTAGATCAATAAAAAATACTGTACTTGTGGATTTTGTGGAAAATAATCTTCATTTGATAGAAGCTTATATTAATGTTATTAATGTTGTTACTTCCATTCCAACAATAAATAGATATATTAAAGAAGGTAATGTCATTCCGGTTGTCGCTGATTGGCCTGGTCAAATATTCTTAAGAACTGCTATATCACAGTATCTTGTTTATGGTAACTCATCTGGAATCACTGACAATATTTTATCATTTCTTCTAATGATAGGTCCTTTACATATCTCACTGAATAGTCGTGAGTTAATATTTCTCCAGTATCAACCATTTTTCTCAGCAATATATAAATATATATTTGATGAAAAAAAATACTCGCTCAAAAGACAAAGCTGTGGCGTATAAATTTGCTACTAGAACGCTTATGCAGTGTATGGCAACAAATTGCAATGATGGTTAAATTAAAATTTAGTCATGTGTGTAAAGATGCAGAATATGTAACACTTAAGGATCTGCTAGATAACACAATTCCTCTGGTTCTTGATATTTATGCTCTGTTTTTTTCATGCTAGCGATTATAACTCTTATATTGAATCTTATTTTCGCGTTTGGTCTATTTTTTTAAATTCAACCATAAAAATTATACTAAAGCGCCTTTGATGTTTCTTTCAGATATTTTTTACTGGTAATCAAAAAATCATTCAATTTTAAAGACGATGAATGCTGAATTACCAAAATTCTCTGATACACCTGTGAAAATCTTTCATAGTATTTTATGACACAATATAGAAAAGCATCTTACGGTAGACCAAATAATAAAAAAAGCACAATATATCAACTATTTATGATTTAACGATGATGGCTTTAAGGAAAATTTTGTTTATACTTCAACTTGGGCAGTGTATCAGTATTCTACTCAGAATATTGTAACTTGAATACAAAAAACTGCATGCTTTCTTTTAAACTGTTTCTCAGATATTTATACTCGTATTTATCATAAGAAAATTTAATTTTTAATTCCATCACAGGTTGCTATAAATCATCCACCAAAAAAAAGTAAGAAAGCCAATGCTGAAAACAGCTTTCCTATTCTGGCAATGAAGATGAAAAAAGCATGGCTTTGTCATCTACCTATAGAATATAGTTCTTCATATAAACCTAGTTTGTCTAGTTGCGATTCTTCTAGTTGTTCTATTACTAATATTACAATTACTATAGAAACAGGACGGGTATTACCTTATGGCCATATGTATCATAACATATGCTTCAGCCAGGATGGATCCAAATGCTTGTATTGTTTAAATTACATCAAGGATGGTGTTGACAAACATGTTTAATCACTATTAGATAGTCTATGCTGACTTAAATCAAATAACAATATTGAAAGTGAATAGCCCGATTCTATTTCTGAAGATGATTACGATGATACTAAGAAATCAGCTGATGGCATTTCAGCTCCCTGGAATGATACCATTTCACGATTTCTTTTACTATAGTTATAATAATCATTTACAATTAGAAGAATCGTGTTGTTTTTTTTCATATGTAAAAAAATTTTTTTGAGCACAAAATCCATTTTTCTTTATTTGAATCAATAAAATAAACTCAGTTGGCTAGGTAAAACTATATTAAATCTCAATATAACCTTAATATAACCTCAATATAACCTCAATATACTCAATATACTCAATATACTCAATATACTTAATATACTCAATATACTCAATATGCTCAATATACTCAATATACTCAATATACTCAATACTCAATATACTCAATATACTCAATATAATCTCAAATTTTATCATGTGATAATCATGTGACTTAAAATCAGCCAATCAAATTTTACAAAATCTTAAAATGATCTACACAAAATTAGCCAATCAGACGAACTTCTTCCTATGAGATTACATTTCCCATCCTTCAATACCTAGACTTTACCAAGGAATTTATACTTTATACTGATGTTTCAGGAATAGGACTAGAAGCAGTATTATCCTAATTAGATGATGATAAAAATGAACATATCATTGCTTATGCAAGTAAAAGTATGAATAAAGCTAAACAGAATTATCTGATCACAGACCAAGAATGCTTAGCAGTAGTTTAGGCTATTAAAAATTTTCATTATTATCTTAACTCTAAACTATTCACTATTGTAACTGATCACTCTGCTCTTAAATGGTTAAGAACCTCTAAAATTTCTAAAGGATATTGTGTAAGATGAATCATAGAGTTACAGCAATATGATTTTAATATTCAACATAGACCTGAAAAAAATAATGCTAATACTGATGCATTATCTTGATTAATTTCTGATCATGAATAAGATAATACTTCTAAGGAAGTTTTCATGTTCTCAATTGAAGAAATAGAATGGTATATTTCTCCCTCTAAAAGTAATGAAATTCCATCTGAAAAGTCACTTGAGAAAATGGAATTAGAGGAAGAATTAGTTTCATCATACTCTTATACACCTTTGGTTACTAAAGAATACTAATGCTCTAAAAATAAGTTGAAAGATATTTTCAAAGAAAATATAAAAATTAAGCAAGTTATAGTTAACCAACCAATTACTAAAGAAGGATCACAATGTAATTATAATTGTAGTATTAAAAATCATCATATCCATACATATTGCAAGACTTATAAAAGAAATTTACCATATAGAATGATTGAATATCATTGTATTATTAGATTCAGTCCAGGAC